TCATGTCATTTGCTCACTACTAGTCTTTTTTTTACCACCAGGTGTGCAAAAACTACAGGTACATTTAATATATATATATATATATTATATTATTATCGGTATCGGTATCGGTCTTGAGAAGCAGGAAGGTATCGGTTTCAAAAAAACAATATCGTGCATCCCTAGTATAAATGCAGACCTTCACCACTCTAGCAAGATGGATGCATTTTGGTTCCATTAATGAGAACATCTCTGTTTGACAAAGGGTGTCAAGCTGTCCAAAGAAACACAATGACACTGATTGGGTTTGAGCAGGTTTATTACATCTCTCTTGTATCCTTCTTTGCGGGGCTGTTGTACAGAGGGACTTAAAGCAATCACAAACACAAACTCTAATCAGTGAGTTTAGCTCCAGAGAATGAACCACTTCCACCAACTCCGACAGTAGCTATCAGAGATCTGTAGGACGGTGCATCGGGTAAATAAAGTCACTGACACAACTTTAACTCACTCTAAACTTACTTAACATCTTCTACAAATATTAGCAACAAACCAATCCTTGTTTTACTGAAATGTGATTGGAGGAAATATCAGTTAATTCATCTTTACATATAAGAAAAGCTGAGTGCAGATTTCTTTAAACTGAAACTCAAGCAGAAAAAGCCTCTTTTTTGCAAAGCCAAGCTCACATGATATACAGCCTTTTATTGTTATCTACATCTACTGAATATCTTCTCTGACCGCAGGACAAAGAGCTCTAAGGGTACAATATACATCTCTGAGGTTCAACTGAGTTGTTGGCTAAAGCAGGACTTAGAGAGTCAGTGCAGGGGATTCAGGTTTATTTCCCAGGTGTGTTTATGTGCAGGGTTTCTGGTGATGAGTCCAGAACATTCTCCTGTCAGCAGGCAGCGCAGGTTTGGGACTTTATTTGACCATACTGTTGAAAAACAAAGAGAAGGAGATTAGAGATCGTCTGTGACTCTTTTTATATTATCATATCGTCCTATATTTGCACATTTGTTCATTTTAACGACATGTATATCATTTCCATGCTGAATAAAGTCAGAGAGTAATCAGGAATTGAGGACAAGAACTATTTTTTAAATGTTGTTGGTCAGTGTTAATGTTTTTTTTGTCTTTGGAAACAAAATCATTAAGATAATCAGCTGAAAGAGATAACAAGATTAAGCTTTTCATCAAAAACAATTAAATCCAAATGGTCAAATAATTTAATTAGGTAAAGGTAGCGCAGGGAGAACTAGTATACGTTAGATATTGTGGCGTAAAAACAGTAAGTCTAAAAACTATGGTTATCAAATCACCTCTCCTTTTATGCTGCAAAACCAGGAGTAACACACTCAAATTAAATAGATAATACACACCACACAATCTCATGCTATAAATCTACTCTAAAATGATAAGTTAAACTAAGGAAATGGCTCCTACAGTACTCTGTGGTCGTTTCCATTATGTAGAACATTTGAAATTCTAGCCGCTCTACAAACAATATGGTCGGTAAGCTTGGGTTTATGTGGCAGTGCAATGGACAAGAACATGAACAAGGAAGTAACAAGGAAACACACATGCTTAAAGAAATGGGATTGTGGTGGTCTAATGGATAGTGGTTCAAATCCCACCTGGAACACCACCACTAGTGTGCCCTTGAGTAAGGCGCTTAGCCCTCAGTTACTCCAGGGAGAATGCCCCTGTAATCGGTAATTGTAAGTTGCTTTGGATAAAAGCGTCAGCTAAATGAAATGTAATGTAAATGTCGTTTTTGGATATTATACACTAAATGTGCTGGACACTCACATGCTGCTCTCCCTGTAGCGGTCCAGAGCCTCCTGGGCCACGACCTCGGAGAACTTGGGGTCGCTCCAGGGAATGTCCCCCGGCACGCTGACGTTCATGGCCGGAGCGTCGAAGAGCTGCACGGACACGCTCGTTTCTGCCGGCTTCTGCTTCTCTTCAGCGTCACTGCCCGTCGTCACCTGCAGGGAGAGGTAAGAGGATAAAATCCACTGGGTGAAATATGGACAGCAATGAATCGATAAAGAAGTGTTTGCAGTGGAAAGGTATTGAAGTAGAAATGGTTATAATGAGATAGAGAGCTTTTGCAGACCGTTCACATGCAAACAAACTTATTTAACTACAGGAAAGGGAGAACCCCAAAAAGCCCAATAGGCCCTCTTTAATGCCAACCAACAGAGAAAACTGTCAATTTAAAAACACTTAAAAACTCCTGAATTAACCAAACAAAAACATTCAAATACAATAATTGTCGTCTTAAGATATCATGTTTTCAGATTTCTTTCTCCTAAAATGAATGACATCTCTTTATACATTTTCTGTAGCAGCTTTTTAGAAATGTCATATATTGTTGATTGAGGAGAGACTTCATCACACATATGGAGTTTTGCCACAGGTGTACGTACCGTCTGAACCTGGAAGACGTCGGTGATGTTGGCCAGAGAGGACACCCAGCCGAACTCTCTGTTGAGCATGTCGAGGACGGAGGAGGTGTTGAGCATCTTCTCCTCGAACCTCTTCAGGAGGAGGTTGTACTGCTGAGTGAACCGCTCGGCCAGGGCCAGCGCCTCCTCCAGCTCCGCCTTCAGAGGGCCTTCCAGAGGCTTCCTCCCGGAGCAGTCTGCGGGGGAAACATCATCAAGACGCACGAGTAAGGGTAGAAAAAACACTTATCTGATTACACCGGGATAATAAGGACATTTACTTTGATTAAGTGCAGGGTTTTTGGCAATTCAGTCCAAGACTATATGGCCTATCTCAGGGGTTCCCAAACTTTTCAGCCCGCGACCCCCAAAATAACAGTGCCAGATCTGGCACTGTTATTTTGGGGGTCGCGGGCTGAAAAGTTTGGGAACCCCTGAGATAGGCCATATAGTCTTGGACTGAATTGCCAAAAACCCTGCACTTAANTCCAAAAGCCTGAAATAAAACATGTTATAGAATCAAAATAGCACAAAATCTCAAAATTGACCAGTGCTTGAAAAACGATGTTTTTGCCTGCCGTGTCTCGCCTTAATGTATCATATGTTTGCGAATTGAAATGAATGCACTAATACATGTAGTTTAATCCACGTGAGTTTACAACAACAAAAATAATCGCTTTGTTTTTATATCACATCCGACCGGAGGAAAATGCAGCACGGCTCTCACTACCGATAATCCTAATCCCACGGGCAAACAATAATATGTAGAGTGGTAATAGTTTACTATATTATTAGTGTCTAATATTACTGCTATAACAATCACACATTGAGTTGTTAAAATCAGAC